AGGCCATCGCTATTGGGTGGAGGCCATCGCAAGTAGTTTGGAGGCCAGTAGGTTGGCCATCGCTACTAGGAACCAGAAGCAAAGGTGTGTGATTCGTTGAAGTCGCTCTCCTTCGAGTGCAGGAGAGGCTCCCTTCGAATGGGTGGCCGCGTGCTGCCGCAGACGGGCGGCTTCACCGATAAGGCCGAGTGCGTCCCCGGGGAAAAGGCCCAAGACCGGTGCGGCCGAGCCCATTTCTCACAATACATAAGGTCCCAGTGTTTGGGTCGTCCCAGTAAGTGTTTGGGTCGGGTTAGTGAAAGCGTTTTGGGATGTTCTGTCTTTTGGTGGATGTCATGTGTTTCTTCTTTTTTGTGTTTCTTCAGGCGGAGGCGACGGCACAATCTGAGATTCAGACGCCAAGGGCCGACCCTTTTCGGCCTCCGGCCTCGGGACTCAACTTGGTCCTTTCCCTACCGGTCAGGACCTCACTGGAGTTGGTCACATGACTTCATGAGGTTTTCAGAACCAGGTTTGAGTGGATCAGTTTGGACCTGTAGGGTCTATTTCTGGGGGGTACACCAGGTTCGTCTTAGGTCGTTCCATCGAGTGGACACTCGATGTTCTTTTGGTTAGGTGAAGTGAACGAAGTTCTTTCGTCCAACGTGGGGCGTCACTGATTTGGACGGATGTTCAACTTTATAAACAGAACTAACATGAACGAACCCCACTAACATCCACTAACTACATGAACTGACTAACTCACTTGCATTAACTGACTAACTTCCAATGAGCACCGCTCGGATGCACAACCATCTGTCCGTCATAGTCCGCAGGTGGGCAAAGTGGAACGGACCATCGTGGTGACCGCGATCCCCTACGGCGCCGACGCCCGGGCGGTCCAACCGACGTGGCGCGTCGTCCGGACCTCGTCCCGTTGGTCGGCGCCCACCGGGGCGGTCCAACCGGGGATGGTCGGGGTGGTCCAACGGTGTTTGGGGTGAGTTTGGGCACAGAAGACCAAGACCACGGGTGCCTTCAAAGGTATTCAAAGGCCTGCCGACCAGGGGCCTCGAGTTGCATGACAGTGACTTGATCAGCGTCTAGCAGCAGTTGCTATAGATCCATCTACCTTCTCAGGAGACAGACAAACCCTCCAGTCAACATGGATATTCGGATGGTCTGTGATGACCTGCTAAACTTGTGTTGGAGTTAGAGTTAGACTGAGTTCGAGCTATTTGAGGGTTTGGGAGATGTTGAGCTCACAAATTTACAACTTGTTATATATAAGCTATGGCTATAGTCTATAGCGATCTACAGCGTATGTATACTTGATAATTGATGTGTTACACATGTTTGTTGAATGCAATGCTACAATGGGCATGTCTAATATCTCATAGCACACGCCGGCCTGGTCAAACTTGGGTGTTCAAGTCATATCCCCCAAAATGGTAGACCATCCTGCAGCCAGTTTCTTCACCTGGCACACCAAGTGTTTAGACCCCCCTCTCTAGGTGTCCGAGCACATTCAGCTTTGAAAAATACAACAATTCATATATTGTTCACCCATTCCTATTACCCAATATTAGCTTCGTGCCTGCACATACCACTTAGCCCCAGTGCAGAGCGATTTCAGCCAAACTAGGATGAAAAGATCATCTTCAAGCACTTTAGCAAGTGTGGCCTCATCGAGGACTTGCAGATGCTTTACAATCGAAAGGGAATGCTGCTCGGAGCCGAACATCGATTCGTTGCGATGTCATTCCTCGAAGACACCGGTGCCCCGACACCCGAGCGTTCAAGGCACTTTCCGACATCGGCAGGAATCCCTGCACCTTCTGAACTGGGAACAGTCAAATACAGACCAGAGTACTGACCTCACACGCAGCCTCCCGTGCTTTGGAGACGCTTGGACGACCCAGATGGGAAACCAAGAGCAGTGATGACGTCATCCACTCATGGATCCGCACAGCACTAGGTCAGGACTGGACTTGGTCACCCAGAATCAAGACCTGATGGTATGTGGCTCCTACAGTCAATCCGGTTTCAATCTAACTTGGATGAATTGCCGCTGGCAGTGTTAGCTGGAAGTCAAGGTGCTGGCTGATGATCTACCATATGTCAGCGGAGTAGTGGAGTCCGGCGATGTATGCTTCCTTGACTCCAAAACCCATCCTCTCCGAAACGGGCCGCTCCATGACCCCAGCACCGGCCAACCTACCGACCCACTCAGCTGTTCAACCGCCCGTGGTCAGACCGACTCGCTACTTCCGAGGCCCACGGGTGTGGCCATCATCGAGTTCTCCTTGGAGGAGCCCGTGCAGCGCGCGACCACGCTGCCGTCGCCCTTCAACGAGATCCTCGGCCAGGCGGAGAAGCCGGGCGCGGGCAGCGCGGCGCTTTGGGAGAAGTGCAAGTGCGGGAGAAGTGGAGATGGGGATGGTTGATCTGAGGCAGTCCAATGGATTGTTCAGGGACTTGCTGGTGGGCTATCCATAAAATAGAAAATCAGTGAATGAAGAAGAACAGCAGACACATCGCTATAGGAGTGATCCTGCTACCGCAGGAAGGTTGATTCCTTGAACCCCCCCACTGGGCACCCTAGTGAAAAACAAGACAAACAAAAAACACACAAACAGTCAAACAACCAAATAAACAAAGAAACAAAGCAAAACACAGCAAATCAAAGCAACACAAAGCAAAGCAAAGCAAAAACAAAACAAAGCAAAGCAAACACAAAACAAAGCAAAGCAAAGCAAAGCAAAGCAAAGCGAAACAAACAAACAAACAAACAAACAAACAACCAAACAATCAAACAAACAAACAAACAATCAAACACACATATTGGTCATGATAATTTACATGATGATATGCTTGTAAGACGATGGATTCGCCCTTTATAGCGAGCCAATGATCCCAGACTTGTGGATCTTGTGGTACCAGATCCTTCCATCGACTGGGCTACTTTCGGGCTGGAGGGTGGCGGGGCAACACGGCTGAACTGGTTGAACTGCAACGGGGTGCGGAGCTGACTGGAGTGTTTTTCTCGGTTGTTGGTGTGTGTATCCCCTGCATCATCACCATTCAACACCCCTTAGCTATTGAAATGTACGCCTGGGGTACCTGTTGTTTGTTGTCCGTTTGGGCTAACCAGTTGTGCGATTCCGACGGCGGAGTCCGCCCTGCCAGGTGGTCCAGGCGAAGCGGGCAGACACTTAACAGCAGCGGGGGAAGCCCTGCGTTGTATGATTGTCAATATAACAAAACATATCAAAACAACAACAGCACAAGTCAAAACACTATTTGTATACCAGGTTGGCAGTTGGCAGTGTGTATATATGTAATAGATCATAGGTGTTTTATCATTATATGTCGTATTGCATGATATTGCATTGGTCAATAGTGAAGATGAACAACATGTTGCGTCTCTTTCAATTTACAAATTCAGATCGATTGTAGGAGGTTGAAAAGAAGGAAGAATTCACTTGTAAGAATCTGATCTACGAAGAGCCTCAAAGCCAGGGTTTAGTATTTGAACTCCTAGTTTTGGGCAAGCTCACTTTGCACATGCAGGGGACTGGAGGTGTTTCGGTAGATTTCACCGGATGCCTTACAGCACCAAAAGGTTCCAAAAAGTGCTGATTGTTTTCTGGACATGACACTTAGTTGAGCCTTCACAAGCCTATTGCATGCTCTGGAACATCACATCATTCTTTTGCACGTTTTCTCGTGTGCCATTTTTTGCCCGCTACTATAGTTATGACGCACTCTAAACTTCAAGATATCCTGCTCAGAATCACGCATAATAAACAACAGTTTTAGTCCAAAAATTGAGTCTACATCTTGGGTGACTGGTCTGGCTTTGGATGTGATTTTCTGAACGGCAGACATCCCTTCACCGTTCCCAGGACGCACAGATTCCGAAGAAGGATCCAGGGCCCAAGAGAACTCTCACGCGCCAGCAGTTCACACAGCAGGCGACCGCTGCGATCAGACGCGGTGGGGTGAACCAGCGGAGCAAACAAAGGACATGGCCTACTATAAGAGACCCTAGTTGAGGGGTGAACCAGCTTCTCTGACTCAGGGTCGCCAAATAATGGTAACTATACCCCGGGAGTTTGTAATGTATCCAGACACAACTCCTGTGTTTGACAGAGAAGATGTATTATGAATGAATTATGAAAAAATGGATGTGTTGGACACACATTACAATTTGTTGAATTGGACTGGACCCCGATTTCGTGCAGATTGTGGTTTGGAAGGGTCCTACATTTTAAGACAACAACTTACTGCCATCCTTCAGGAGAGGAAAAAGGTTAACATTCAATCATCCTTTCCCACAGTCAATCACTACAACTATAAGCATAGAACCAGATTGAACCGTCTTCCTTGGGATCACACCTCACACCTCCTCGGTGGGGTCTCCAGGTGCTGAGTGGCTTAATGAAGCCATCAGATGCTTGGGGCTGTTGGCCGAGAGTCACAGAGATGTGGCAGGTTTGGGGTGGTGAATGGACACCTCTTAACCTCTAAGAGGCTATGATTGGCTATAGGATTTTGACAGCCCGGAACGGGGCCCCGGGCTGAGATGTGTCGATTTTTTGTGAATGTCGAGGATTGAAGAAGAAGAAACGATGTCGATGGCTTCGACTAATAAGCCTTTATAGGGCTCTACGAAGGGTTCTAGACCATGCCAATGCCAATGATTCCTTTTAAAGGTAGACGGGCTGAAACCCATATGTCCCATGTCCCCGCAGATATGGATTGAAACACCATTCCCCCATGGGACAGCGAACGGTGCTTTGAGCGACGCGGCGCCGATCGGGGTGAGCGTGGAGCCAAACGGAGCGGCCGTCCCACGGCGGGTCCGACCCCCCCACCGACCCCGATCCTATATTGGTTGACAGAGGCGGGGGTAACAGTGTTAGAGCCACCGCCATATTGGGTAACAGGCCATATTTATCCATGTTTGCATAACATTGCATAACTATATGACTGTAAAACTGTTTGAATATCTTGTAACACGTTTTAAGTATACTAACTCACTGTTACCGCGTTTGAAACTTGTCTCAAACAAATATGTGGTCCTTGTTGGGATGAGCACCACAAACATATTTGTTTATTTGTTCTTGCGATCAGGATCTATGATACAACTCCAGCTCCCTTCAAACATAGTAAACATCAGTGACATCAGTTTTATCATGTTTTATCAAGAATTCCCACCAGGGTGCGCGGACAAAGGTAGAGTCCAAACCCACACATGTTTGGGTGCAAAAGCCAACCATCAGCCAACCATCAGAGATGTGAAAGGCAATCCGCACGGAAGGTGTTTTTCTTTTGGAACTCGGAGACTGCACGTCCTTAGAGGAACCCTCGGCGTCGGTGGGGTGACGCGGAAGCGTTTGATCCTCGCCGAGCTGACCTAGCCGACCTCGGTTCGACCAGATGGTGGACCTGGTTTTGGTCGGTGTCAATTCTTTGGTAAAGCAAAGGTTGTTTGGTACAGACTATACATAAAACAATGGTTGTTGGAATTACAGGGTACATGTTTGCACTTGCCTGGACTCGCGACCGCAAAAGTGACATACCCAGCCTTGATGGCTTTGATGGCTGTTCTCGTCCCTCATCTCCTGGTCCTGTTACGTTTGGGTTTGTTGCCATCCAATCCTTTTATCCAAGGAAGAGAAGATGAATATGAGGAAACTGCACATTAAGAACCTCCGTCCCGTCGTCAGGGACGACGACTTGCGCCGCTTGGAACAAGAAAGGACAGTTGATGTGCTCAACATGTGAATTGGTTTGTCGATTAGTGCAACTGGCTACTATACTATATAGGTTGTTTTTTTGTTGTATATCAATGTTGGGAGTTAGAATATCGGTACCCAAGAGTTTTATCCACCGTCTCAAGACAATTCAGACCTGTTTTGATAAGATTGACTTATTAAGGTGAGAGAACTACCTCTGGAGCTTGAGGAAAAGATCACAAACAAACGACAACAGGGCCAAGTGTTTGCCAGTCAGGAAATTCCATGGTCAGTCAGTGAGCCAGCCTTTTGGATTGGAGGAGTCACAAAGACGACGGATCCAGACACAACAGCCCAAGTTCTAAGAGCTACTCAAAATTTCGGGAAGACCTGGACGGCTGAGCAGCTGTGCTAATCCTGAACATGACCCACAATATGCCAGAGCCTCAGGCAGTATCTTCAAGCCCTTTGGGGAGTTTGAGGATTTCCTCATGGGCAGCGGCGAGTGTTGGATCACCTTCAAAAATCACAGCGATGCCCAGGCTTGACCGACCGCCCGTGCTCGTACCTGAAAGGTGAATGATGGTTAGCAACTGCGGCAACTGCTAGGTTCCATGAAAATCACCAAAAGATGATGCGACACTCCTGTTTGTGATTTTCTTTTTGAGCCTACAAGAGGCCGAACGAAAACACATCAAGCCCAAGACTGCCTGACTGCGGAACTGAGACGTCAGAGGGCAAGCCTTCACGTAACTCGTGCCGAACGGACGAACGTGTCGGACGGACGTCTCTTCGTCCCGGCACGTGCCGGTCTCGGACCGGGACCGAAGCGACTGCGACTCGCGACCTCCACAGGATGCGATGACCTCCATGCAGGGATTCCAGTTGGTCGGCCAGGAGAGTGGACCGGGGCGAAATCGAAGGCGGGAGTCGAGCTATCAGGTGCGGGCTGAGGCGTGTCATGAGCTATCAGAGCCAGGGATGAAATCCCAAAGAATCCTTGAATCATGTGGACAACGGTTCTGTCGATACCTCATAGGACAAGGGTGGAACAGCTGCCAAACTCTTGTGTGCTTGCAATATTTGCTTGGGATTCGTGTGGGAGATATGACCTTGGTGTTTTTCAATGTTTCAATCTATATACCAAACACCATACAGAAAAAGACGCATGGGACCTTGAAGAACACCCACAGCAGCGAGGAGGGTCCCTTCAAGACAGACTCAGATTACTGTAGATGGTTTCCTTTTGGTCTTCCCACACTTCTGCCTCCGCCGGCTATGTTTCATGAGGAGCTCAGCATCAGCATGCTCTCAGTGAGCATAGCCAAGAGCACCGAAGCGCCCAAAGACGCAGAGGCGGAGACGACGACATCTGGAGGAAACAGAGAGTTGAGCGGCACCAAAACCGAACCCCACTCCAACTTACGCACGAGCGCAGTACTGTATATTGCAGTTTGAACTGCTACATGGACCTCTTTTTGTTTGTAGAAGGTCTTTCCCGAACCATTTTTGTCGGTCTTTTGCATGAGTCTGAGAGCTACAGCTGGTCTTCTGGAAGCTACAGTGAGTCCGACGTGTGAAAGACGTCGGAACCGGGGCCCCCCGGTTCCGATTTATGATCAAGAACCGGACATGGTTCCACTCACTCTTCCAAAATACATGACAAAACATGTACCAGGACCATCCATTCGGGGTCCCCAATAGACCACCGTATACACTACTTCTGCACTATCATTGCATGGAAACACCGTTTCGCAAAAAGGTGCTCCGCTCCAAAACAAACATTCACGAACGCTTCAAAAAGAGCCCAAGCGGCTTCTTCTCGGCTTCTTTGAGGCGGAGAAAAAGCCGAAGCCCTTGGATCTGAAGAACGATTCAGACTTCGGCGCGACGGGCTCGGGTTTCGCGGATTCAATGGGTGAGAGGGCGGAGTGACGAGCTAAAGGGGACCCCAGCGGGATCGGCCAGTGTATGCGCAGGATGGGACGAGGGGACCGGGCCGAGCATTTTGCGGGTGGATTCTCGGTTTCGCAGTAATCTTATATATTTTTGTCATGTGATTGAAATGGAGCATTCCAGTTGCTTGGAGCAACCAGCAAAATGCTTCTTCCGGGCCCTTTTCTTCTTGAAAAGCAGCCCCAAGGTTATGTGAGTCAAAGCTCAGATGATTTTGTGGTTTAGATCCCCAGCCATCCTTGTATTATGCACTTTGTTTAACGCTTTTGTCTTTCGCTTTTGCTTTGTTCATGATGTTTCCATGGAGCCAGTCGATCCACGACACAGCCGCTTCCGTCGATCGGATGTCGTAGGATCGACGGCGTCACCCAGGCGTGTCCAACGTGCACAACCGCATCGAAGTGATGAAGAAGCTCTTGAAGGTGTGGCATCCCATGACCTTCGTTTGTGGATATATAGGTGGATAACCCTACCGAAATGACCGGGGAGGTTTGAACTCACAGCTACATAGCTGACATAGCTGGTGGATGCATGCAAACTTCAAATGAGCGCCGGTCGTAGTACCTGTATGCGCTTCTTCGACCGGCGCTGTTCCGTGACCACTCCAAAGCGGAAAGGGCCGAAGGCATCACAACGGGCGGTGGGGTGAGTCACGGTGATGGATCGGCTGCTGCCAGGTGTTTCGTATCACAGCTGCCAAGGTAGTATACGTACAATATATAGACTTGTTGTGGTGAAGTGTATTCCCAGTATTCCCCCATCTCAAGATTTCTACCGTCAGTTTGGTGGAGGATGTCTTCCTTCAGCAAATTGTGTGGCTTTTTTGTCAGTTCATTTAAGGAGCCCCACAATTCCTTCGACATAGCGTCCCATCCTCAAAACTAAAGCACCTGCACCATTCCTCCAAGGGGTGTGCAATGGTGATTGATAAATTATAATCATTAATAACTTTAAAAACAAATAAAACTCATACTCATTCTTATTATATATCATAGTGTAGCCTGCAGCCTGTACGTCAATGACCCCTAGGATGGTTTTGGTAAAATCTGGCAGCACGCTAAGATCTTGTTCAGGGCTTTCAACTTCCTGGAAAGCAAAACTGGGTCACCATGTTTCTACTAGGACACTCTTCAGGGGTGTTTGTAGTTGGGATGGACTAGGACAATATACCCAGCAAATCCTTCTTCTGTACTTCACAGTTTTGCAATGGGCATTCGCAGAGATTTCGGCCTGTGTCTCCAGTAACACTTTGTTTCCTGTAGCGGTTGGGACAATGGGTTTCTGTTACAGTGTAGTACCTTGTGGTTCCCACATTTGCCACCAAGTGTTTCACTCGAGGCTTAGGATCCTTTGGGAAGTGGTTTGAAACATCGCCATGTCAACACATCCCACATATAGATCTTTGACATTTCAGTGCTGTGCGAGACTGATCCCAAGCTCCAGTCTGCAAGTTCTACGCCACTTTGCAAACAAGCGAGGCTCCTCCTTCTACCGAGGCCCACAGCGGCAGCGGCATCCCCACCGTGGTGGGACTGCCAGTGCCCTCAGAGCCTCCTGCAGATGGCGCGGCGCCCGCAGCTCCCCCCGCAGCGCCGGCGCCGACGGCGGAGCTGCCGCCGGCGCCGAAGCCGGGAAACTCGACCAGCTGCACCTTGCTGCTGCAGAATATGTTCAACCCTGGGAAGGTGGCCTGGGGTTGGGAGTGGGGGATCGGAAATCGGATGTGTTTGAGGCAAGTTTGTGGTATTGGGAAGTTCGAGGAAGTGACATACATTTCTTTTTGCGACCGCAGGTGGTCTCTTGCAGTATATTGGTAGAAGTCCCAGTGAGTACTTGGCAAAAGCGCGAGGCGTGCACCCCAGGAGAAACAATTCCACCCGTTGACCATCCAGAGAAGGATTCGAGCTCCAAAGACCATCCAAAAAATATCAAAAAACATTCAAAACTACTTTCACAGCCATCCGAACTGAATCCAATGCCAGTTCGAACCTATAGCATGTACCAAAGACGCAGCAAAAGTAGACCCTTGGGGCCTATATATGGATGTTCTAGCCCGTTGATGCCCTCGGCCCGAGTCTCAGCCCGAGTCTCGGCCCGAGTAGCCTCCAGGTGGACTTGGCCTCGGACCCCAAGTTCTACGAGGCATTGCGGGAGGACCGAGCTGGGAGTGGAGGAGTCTGATTTGGTGCTCCATTGTGGCCCGCGCCCTGCGACCAAGACGCAGGATCCAACACATGTGGGTGTGAAAGAAAGAATGGAAGGGGGATGTGGTGGTTTGAGGTGTTTCTGTTTGGGCCGTCGGTGGGGTTGGGATCTTTTTAGCCATAAACGAGAAAGTAGCTTTCCAACGCCCAATGCTGACCGCTTTTCTCGCTCCCCGTGTGCGCACGGTGAGGACACCCACGAGGAGTGTGCCAAGCAGGGAAAGGTGGTTCACGTCACGGTAGATCCTCGTGGCACCGCAGGAGAGACCGGAGCGCGCAATCTTTGTGGGGTTTCCCTGTCGATGGTCCTTCCCATAGAATATGATATATATATATATACCAGGGTCATTCAATGGGTGTCCAATAGACAACCTTACCCTACTTACAGGTCTCCATTGGGCACCCGTTGGAAGTGCTAGGTACATATATATATATATATATTCACAAAAAAAACACAACCAGATCTCAAAGTGTTTGCAGACCAGTGAACATTTGTTTTGCTGGCTGCGTCTTTATATTCTTTGGGGTGCCCCAGTTGGTGTGGATCTGTGGGGAGGGGGAGCCGCACTGCGTTTTTCCCCGTTGGCTTCACTCATCGCAGCAGCAGGTCGCATGGTGTGGGACCCACCCGGTCAACCTCCATCACTCGTCGGCGTTCTATGCTGGTATTCGGAACTAACTACAGTGAATATTGCCGCCCAGTTTTTGTCAGTTGATGAGGTATGTGATGTAGACTATTGGGTCATATTTCATTGCCACCACAGGAATGCCCCAGGGATCCACATACCTTCGCAGAAGGTACTTGGACCTCCAAGTATACATGAGAGAGAGAGTCCAATCACCGTACCTCAGAGGGTATGTGGATCCATAGGGCTGGTAACATCTCAACCCGGCCCCTTTCGCCGAACACTCACAGATGGTTCATGATACGTTTGATACGTATGTTTCCTTCGCTACCAACCAACTGTTTGACCCACTGTGATTCTTATTTGTTCAGACAACTAGATGCAGATGGGTTTGTCACGATGGGGCCTGGCAGTAGGGAAAAGAGAGCAAACGCCCTTGCTTGGTCGGTGTCCTCTCATTTTGAGGCAGACCTCATCGTCTTTTGATTCTACATAGTTGTACATAGTAGTGCTTGTTGTACTCATCATTCTTTGATGTCACCAATTGGCTTTTGCATGTTTGTTTCTGTCAAGATTCATCACTTCTGCTATACCTTATATACATTTTGTTGTGTTTGTTTAAGTCCCTCGACTCACAGGATTGATCTACGTCCTCTATGAAACCCCCCAGCAGCGGCTGGCGGGTGAGCTGGCGCTGAACGGTGCCTGGTTCGAGGGGAAGAAGATCATCGCCACAGGAGAGAGATGTGAGTTCTTCGAGTCGAGAGAGTCGCGAGAGTCGGTCCAGGTGGATCGATAGATCGGACCCAGACGATCACTACTGTGAGACAAACACTTTTCGAACATATTTTGGAAAAAAATAGTGATGTACTAAGTATATACATGTCTGCAAGTATAGCATCCACCTGGATGTCTCTGCTTTCTAGATGTGCTGACGCTGTGAGGCTACCCAGGCCACTAGCGATCATTGGATGGTCCATGCATTCCATGCGACTGGGATAGTGACCGATCAGTTCGGGTGTTTGAAAAGGTGTGAAAAGAAAGGCTATATAAATCTATATATACATATACATATATATATATAATAGTAAAATATATGTTCCATTTCCATGGAGTGGTTGGGATAGCTGTAGCTGTCACAAAAGCTGTCATTAACCTTCACTTCAGCTCATTACTCATGGCTGTCATGGTGTGGAATGACATACTGATGAGGACATCACATGCCAGTGGATGGCCCAAATAAAGTGTCCTGCAGAAACAGGGTTACACTTCCATGTTCGTTTGGACACACCCTGCCTCTCATGGACGCCTTCTCGGGCACATGGTTCTTCGAGGGAGAGCTGCACTGGTTCTCTTGGAAAGCACTAGCTTCACCAAAGACTGTTTTCATCCTTCATGAACTTCAGTTTTGGATCCATGGTCCATGAACCCAACATATTCTGACTGCCAATTCCATCTACTCCATACAAAACCATTTGTGGGAGTGATCACTGTTGAGTTTTGTTGCACGATCGACTCCGTCAACCAACGTTTTCAGTCGCTTCTTCACCATCTTGATCGACCGCAGGAATCGACGATTCCATTTGGCAAGACCTGGCAGCTCAAGCGCAGCCAGCTGTGAAGCAAGAACCCGCCGCAGACGCGTGAGGGGGTTCCCTGAGAGGTAGTGAAAAAGGGGCGTCGGCGGCGAAGATTGAATCTTGTTGGTGAGGCCCACACGGATGTTTGATCAATGCTAAGGGTGTTTTTGAGGATGTTCAATCCACCTAATTTCGAGCGGTGATGGTGGACGGTACAAGTCCATCCATGTACATGCGCGGTTTCCTGGCTGCAGATCCAGGGGCTGGAAGAGCCAGGTGACCTGGTGACCTGCTCGTATATATATATATATATAGTTAGAATAACTATATATATATATACCTGCATCCTCCTTTAGGCTAAAAAAAGGTAGAATATAGAATGTAACATATATATGCATGTAGTTGTACCCTCCAAAGCAGAGAATGGGATAGGGTCTTTGCAAAACAGGTAATTACTTGACTTGCACCCATTTTCTGAGGTACTTTGCGATTCCAGATATATGGGATTGGCTCCTTTTGGTCCTAAAGACGAGCTGATGGACATCGGAGCTTTTAAAAGTTTTGGCTCGAGACCCAGCTTGCTACCCCAAAACTCTTAGAGGAAAGGGACAAGAATCCAACACAACTCGACAGCATGTGGTGCCGCATCTTTGCGCTTCTGATCCTTGGCTGCGCTTCCACGTCCGAAACGCCCACACCTGCTTTGCGCGGGCAAAACCGGACACTTGAGGAAAGGCACGCTCTTGAGGAAGGGAGTTCCCTTCAGGAAGGGCGCGCTCTTGAGGAAGGGCGTTCCCTTGAAGAAGGGCCGGTGCAATGCATTTGCAAGGATTCAGAGGACAAGTACTACTGTGCAGAATCCTTTGCGGGCTTCCATTTGTGTTACCAGCCTTGCTCTTCACTCTGCTCTCAAACACATGGCAGGATGTTCATGTGTGGTGGCAAACACGAGACCATGTGGCTGGAGCGTTTCTTCAAGAATCAAATGGAATCAGACAAGCGTTGCAAACTTGACCAGAAAGGCAACAAAGGGAAGAAGTGAAGTGGCCCATAGCTGTCGAAAATTAGAGCGCTGGAGGCGTTGTGCTGGAGGGTGACTTGGGCTTTTGTGAGCTTGCTATATAGCTCTTTGTACTGCTTGGTGCAAAAAGCACGATTCGAATTTGCCTTGGCAAACAGGATTGCCATGGATTGCCACTTAGATTTACAGCAGCTTCATCGTAGCTCGGTGTACAGGACACAATGTATTGTCGTAGGATTTGGACGCCAATATACATCCTTGCAGTTGCTTCGACTGATGTGTCGGAGTGACTGCAAGGCGAAGTCATTTGCCCGTCTTCCACGACGTCTGACCACGCTGCAGATTCGCAGATTGAAGCTTTGCATGAAGCCTTTTGTATCGCAGCCTCGGGCAGTCTGCAAAAAACTTTCGGCCCAGCCATACATTGAGACTCTTTTTCTTTTGACCACTGTGAATTAGAAATATAATTGTATAGGTGTTTGGCATTGTTCGGCTGTTCGGCCGTACTTGAGTCTATCACTTCCCACGACGGGTCATCCCAACAGCGCTTTTTGGGCGCAGGTGCTGATGGACGTGGCGAGAGCCGTGAAGGCAGGTTGAAACTTACGCGTTGGGTGTGTTATGTTTTAATTCAAGCTCGATTTGCTCATCCGATCTGATCAAATTTGCAGGGACCCTCCAGAGTTGAAGCTTAGGTCTCATTCTAACTGCCTTAGAAGCCAAGATCCAAAAAACAACACAAACAAGAAGACGGGTTTTGAATGGTTTTTATGCACCCTTGTCAGTACTCCTGGCAAAGCATCAAAACCAGGTGGCTCAGAGTTTGGAAGTTGTTGTCTTTCTTGTTTTCAGTGTGGTTCCTGCACCACAAGGAAGCCCTGACAAGCGGTGGCCCTCTGCAAACCGTGTGTGCCTGAAGTTCGCTTTGCATGTCGACCGGGAGGCGAATTGGGCCCTGCCCTGCAGGGCTCTGTGCTGGCCGGCGAGAAAGGCCGGAGGAACGGCAAAGAAGGAAACCCGGAATCCCGACGACCAGCACCCAGAAACTGGGTGGGAAGGAACATGGCGAGTGGTTTGGGCGGTGTGTTTGGACCACAAGTTGGGAGTTCTGCTGGGAGCCCCAAACGTAGCGTCCTTGCTAGATGTTGATCCTCGGTGTTGTATCGATGTTTGTTTTCAGGTCCAGGTGGACAGACTCCCTCGCTGCGAGTCTGTGAGTCCCTCGCTGCGGTCGCAGCACAGACTGATCTCAGATCCATAAATGTGTGGAATAGATGCCCATCTGAAACGACCTCAATGTAGTGGAGCACAGCTACTCATGTTCTTTGCTTTCTTTTTAAGTGTCCTTGCTCCTGAGGGAACAAATGTTTGGATGAGTTTGGGATTGGAATTGCAAGCATTCTGCTTGTTTTTGTTCCCTTTGCCTGCCTGGCATCCCCCAAAAGTTTGTTGACTGCTGATGTTTTGTCATCTCTTCATGCTATTTCAAGCCTCAGGGCCGGCCTCTTCAGAGGCTTTACAATCCATGTGTTTCAAGAGGCCTTACAGGGCCTGAGCTGCTTGAGAACCTCGAAGTTTGATGTTCCGGAGGAAAAAAACACAGTCGTAAAATGTGCGTTTTGTTTTCCCATCAGGTCACTACAGACGAAACAGAATTGCATGTATATAAAGGATGTGAATGTTCAAGTCACAACTGAGCACGGATGTCAATAGCAACATTGTGTTTCTGGGTGGTGGTTTCAGATATCTTTATGTTTATCCTTTACTTGGGAAAACTGAACCCATTGAGCTCACTGATACCCACTCACTCATTTTGTTCAAGTGAGTTGAAACCACCAACCAGCTGTTTCTTGTATGCTGCTCCTCCCAGTCTCAGTCTTGGACCTTGTGCTAGGAGTGTCAACTGGCCACCAGTCTTGCAAAAAAAAAAGGTCACGGTCACATTAAACAATATATCTAGGCTAGATTGTCAATTCTGTGTGCAGGACGAACATCCAGCAGTCTTGACTTAGACCAATGGCCGACGTGCTGGCTCTTGGTGTGCACGTCGGCACCGCACGCAAGCGCTTGGAACCGCACTGGTACGCTGGTCTTATCGCGGTGTGCGGTACGTCCCATCGTGGTACGACATGACATGTATTGAGTGTTTGTTGGACCTTCCAGAGAGTATTGGAGATCAGTGAGGTTTCTGAGATGCTCCGGCATTGGACACCACCGGAAATACACCGCCACCGCACGGATTCGCTTCGACGAATCCGGCAGGTGATTCGGAGGTGCCAAACTTGAGCCAGAGCTTTTCAAGGTGGGTGGTTTGCGGAACTTGAGATGGGTTGGGTTGACGGATTTTGCACCCCAAAAATGGGGGTACCAGATTTGTCAGGAACCCTGAGAAACTACGAGAGAACCAGGGATTGCTAAATGCAGCTTTAGGTTTTGGGTCCCAGATGTGTTCTAGTTTCACTGGAGATAGGACCATGTATAGATGTGGCCTGAACCCTAATTGTGGGGGCCAGGGCATGTCATGTTGATTTCCCTTCCCTATTTTTTTATTAGAACCAGGATAAATTGCCCGGTGATTTGTCAAGCTTCTGGCCCATGCTGCACATATTTAGCGAGCGACAGACGATCCAGGCTCCTCCGCCCGACCCGGGCTCCTGTGTTGCGTCACCCAGGCTCCTGCGGGACCTTCCTGCATGGCATGTGTGGGGCTTGGAGGGGGCCTATGCTGACCTATCAGATTATCAATCTGTATATATTTATACATTTGTAGGATTTGTATATTATGTTGATCTAGTGTCGGGGGTTCTGTGTGCCCAAACAACATCTTGCACTTCCCCGAAGAAACACTTGGATCGGTGGGCCATGGTGGGCCTCTTTCTTTCTTCACACCCAAGGTCTTGCAGCACATGCCTTGGGGTGCTCTGTTTGTTTTGGGGAGTCTAGAAGAGATCTTGGAAGATCCTTTAAGACAAGTCTCGGCACGGACGACATGAGGGCAGATTCTCGGAGAAGATCTGGCTTTGACCAGGCCTTAGATGTTTACATCGGTTGCTATTCATAATTGAATTAGTCCTTTCACATCCTTTCACATTGGTTTGGAAGGACCCCACCGCACTTCTCAGTGGCAAAGGTAAGTGCGAATTTCGTATCATCCATTGCGGCTCCAGCACCATGTTCATCAAGTTTGCAGACCCATCGCCGACCGAGCAAACAATCCACCTGGGTGTGCTATTGCTACTATACTATACTTCAGGTATAGGGGGGCCCTTTTGCTTCTTTTCTGTTAAAACATCGACTGCGCACTTCTTGTCCACTTCCACTCTTCCCGACCCTTCCACTCGAAGGGTCGACGTCAGGACGAAGTCGCTCCGCTCCCGAGGAGTGGGCCGTGTCCGACGCCGCGCACGGAGGCGCTGACGATGAGGACAGCGAGGGACGTCCGAAGCAATGTGCGTACAATGTGTTTATACATAGATGAAAATGTGTATACATTTATACATTAGTAGTTAGACTAGTATATTTATACTCAGATGTTGTTTATATATATATATATGTATGTACGACATGTATATATATATACACTTACACATATGTTTGTATTATTAGTATATGATATATATATATATTAAAATGTACATAACCCTCCCCAAGGACTGCTCGGAACGGATTGGAGACAAATAAGATTACAACACATATGTTCCGATGGGGCAAACATATGTGGACTCTATTTGGTGGCAAACAACATGTTTTGGTGTCTTTCTTGTCGAAAGCTGCGGAAGCAAGGCACGGCATTGCCGTTTGGGCCTTTGTGCAAAACAGCCCAGTTTGTGGCCAGCGCAGGAGAGCAACAACTGAGACAGCTAATCACCCAGCGCTGCAAGTACTACTCGCAGCCTTCCACCTTTAGAGAACATTTGGTTGAAATGGTCCAACTCTTTGACGGTCACAAAAAATAAACATATGGCCCATATGGCAATAAACGTGTTTGATGTTTGATGAGTTAGATATGGCAAACGCTCACAGAAGAGACTTGGTTTGGGTTTCGA